AGAGAGAGAGAGAGAGAGAGAGAGAGAGAGAGTGTGTGTGTGTGTGTGTGGTGGCTGTAGGAGGGTGGGCTGCTAAGAGGGGAGGTGGCAGTGAGGAAGCGGGTGGCCTTGGATCTGGGGTTGGGTAAGAGGTTTGGTGATGCAATGGTGGGGAGAGGTGTGGTGGTGATGGTGAGAAGAAAGGTGATGGTTGTTGGGAGGGTTTTTTTTTTGTTTTCTTTTTTCTATAATTTTTTCCCAAAAAAAATATTTATTTTTAATGATTTAACAGAAAATTGGATGAAATGTTGATGATTTAGACGGTAGGGGGGAAATTGACGAAAAAAAAGAGTTCATATCCTTAATTTTCTAAAAAAAAAGGATAGGGGGCTAATTGAAAGCGAGGTACAAGTTCAGGGGGTATTTCACCAGTATACCCTAATTTTTATTTAAATGTTTCTTGCAATTTATATATTTTATTAATATTTCTTGTATTTCCAATATTTATTTAAATGTTTCTTGCAATATTTATATTTTGTTAATATTTATTGCATTTCTAATAAATTGTTAAAATTTCTTACATTTCCATTTTTTTTTTATACATGTTGCATTGCCAATATATTTTAAAGTTTGTTGCATTTCCATTATTTTTTTTTTTAGATTATGCAAGCACAAATGTGGTTTGGTGCTACTGGGCAAGGCAAAAAAAGTTTCAATCATAACCAATGTTGGGAGGCAATGAAGAATTGTAAGAGATTCCAAATTATTCTAACGGGTCCACAGGTGGTGTTGAACGAGACGACACTCCATGAGACACTGACATCGGATTCACCTATGGATTCCCCGATGAGTCAAGACTCACCTATCAAAAATGAGCCTAGGCCTATTGGGAGGAAAGCGGCGAAGGCGAAGAGAGGGAGTAATTCTACCAAGATTGCATCTAAATTTTTGGAGAACATTTCAAAGCACCAAGCCATGAGAATTGAAATGGATATGAAACAACAAGAGCACTGATAGATTAATATTTTGCATATATAATCTATCTCTATTTTGCATTGTTTTCATGTGAAATTGGTTAGTTTAATGTGTTTAGTGAAGATTTTGTAGGCCTTTGTTCCTAGCAAGGCTCTGGAGCTAAAACTACGATTTTTGAAGCCTAAGGGACCAAAATGGATAGAATTATCAACTCAACAAAATCTCATAAACTCATTCTGTCATTTTATCAAACACCTGGAGTGCATCTGTGCAAGTGTCAATTTATACCCACAACTGGTCTCAGTGACCAGTGCCAGAGAGATTGAGTTAGAAGATTTACGATTGCCGTGTTTCCTGCCGCTTGAAGAATAACCCGATGCCAATTGCTGATATGGAAGACAACGTGGTTTGCGTCAGTTGAGCATTTGCTGAGACATTAGATGACAAAATAAAGAGATGGTCTGAAAGGAAAGAAAGCATTATGCATGAGATTTAAATATTGTCAACATTGAAAGCTAATTGACTTTGCAATTGTTGAGACAATTGCTGATCACCTAAGCTGCCACCGTCACTTGCTTTTTGAGAAAAGTGTGTTAATGGGCTGGTCTCCTTTGAATTGCAAAATGTTATCTAAGCCGCACTTTCCTTTGAACTGGAGATGTAAATTTCATGTCTCAGCCGCTTTCTTCTCACAAAGCCAACCAATTGCATCTTTTACTTGAAGCCGCATTTTTTCTCTCCACAAAGTCAGATTCCTTATTTGACTTGGTTAAGTCCCAAGTCTCCTCAGCTGCCAGCTATCTCTGTTTTTCCTTTTCAGTTTGGGTTTTATTTTTGGACTTTCCTATTATTCATCTACTTCCTAATTAATTATTATTTTTTCTTTATCTTTGGAGAATTCCTTTGACCTATAAATACTTAGCCTTAACCTAAGGCTGGGGGAGGATTATTGGGAGACCATAGACTACAAAGGCACGAGAGAGAGTTTTAAAGAGAAGAAGAACAAGACCTGGAGCTAGAGTTGCTGCTGTGCGGAGATTAAATCTTCAATTGGTTTTTTCTTTCCTATGACACTGTTTATCATGGTTTTTATCAAAGTTGTCATGAACTAATTTCTCCTGCTAGGGCTAC